GCACCTCGGCACGCTGGGCCCTTGCAAGCTGGGAGTGGATGCTGCCCAGGCACGGATGCTCCCCATCCCCATCCAGCTGGCTGAGGGATCATACACGTGTCAGAAAGTTGCCTGGATAGTATTAAAAGAAGGAAATAATTTCATTAGCTGTCACATCATTTTCTTTCTAGGTTTCTTTTACTCAGTATTCTTTTGTCATGCCATCTTTACTAAAAAAAATAAAAAATTTAATAATCCAGATGAGAAGAAGTATGTTGGAACAAGCACACAAAAGCGCTTTGCTTTAATTTTATTTGAAAGATTTATCACATGTTCCAGGTTAATCCCTTAGGCAACATTATTCTAACAAGGTGTGGCCAGCATTTTTACAATGTATGAAACATTTTCTTCCAGATTTATGTGCTCCTTCCACTTATAGTCCATATGTTGTGTGTATTACAAACTGCGGTGATAAAGGCTCAGGAACTTTTCTGAGACTCATACATTGTGTTTTTTGACTTTTTTGCCTTCTTCTCCGCTCCCACCCCCGACTAATTGGGCAGTCAAAGACAGAAAGACACCCGTACTGGATACACATTCAGACTCCTCTGCAGCTTTAGATGCACAAAGATCTTTTCAAATCTGGTTCCATCACTTTACATGCCTTATAATGCAGTGCACACGTTTGCATGCCTTAAATCTATTTAGATTGCTTTATTACTGAGAGGAAAAAATACTGGAAATTACCACTATCTTATTGACATTAAAAAATAAAAAAAGTATTACGATTACCCTTGGCATTCTCAGAAGCCGCCTCCACTGCAGGTAAAAACACGCTAGACAGAGAGGATGTGGCTTGGGAATGGAGTGAGGTCTAGGATTCAGCAGGGAAAATCTCTGGAGCTGTAACTCCGAGCAGGCATCTCATAAGGTCCCTGCTATAGAAGAACTTTATGAACTTACATGCATATTTCAGTGCTTTTCTGAATCAGAATTCCCTCAAAGGGCTGTATGCTGAGCTGTATTTCACTATTAAGTTTAGTGAAAGACCCAAATCATAAATAAAGCGAAAATCCATTCCTGACATGAACAGGCGTGATGCTGGAGACAAATTTGACACAAGTGACCTGTTTGGTTTTTCTCTCTTACAGAAAGAAAATGCAGAGACTTGAGGAGCACTCCTTTATCAACGTCCGACAGCAGCACGGCTTGCAAATACAGTTGCATGAGTCTCGCAATCTTTTACCCAGGGCTTATTCTAGAAACCTCTTCCTCCCTCCCCCCCTGCCATCAACTGCAAGAAAGATTTTGCTTGAGGAAGGAGCAAGACCCAGCAGAGCTGCTCTCTCCCTTGTGTTGCAATAACCAATCTGAGTGTTACTATCAGCTTTTGGAAACTGACTGTACAGAAAACACAGATGACGTTTGCATATTTTAATTTTAAACATCCCTGCTTGGCATAAGGATGGAACTTAATAAGTTGCTTTGTTTCTGCCTCATGAATTAATTCAGCCTGCTAACTGATTTGGATAAAGTGTTTTCATTCCAATTAATAGCTATGTTTTCTGGGCAGGCAAAGGGACTTTAGGAGGCAAAGTAACAAGTTCGTTAGCTTGCCAGGAGAAGTACTTCTATAATATCGATAAGGAATATACTTTTTCTTTTTTCAACCCACTTGTTCCACCCATGTCTTTTAAATCAATCAGATAAATTCACCTTGTTTTTCAATGCCCTGAATCCTGATAGCTCTGTGCACTTGATAGGTAATTTAATCATCGTTGGTGTGGATCAACACAAGCTCGAATTAGCCTCTGAAAGGCTTAGTCGCCCGTAGATAGCTCTGCCTTTCCAGTTTTATGCAGGAACTGAGCTTCACCAACTGGTTAGCTAGAGGTGTCATTAAAAATTTACAGAAAGAAACAAAGGTGTGCTCCAGCATCTCTCCTTACCCTTTCTACTGTTACTCTGACAGACAAAAGGTATGGAACCTGCTTCATGAATAATGGGTCATGTAATATGCATAATGCATTTTTAATGGCACGCAGTAATAACATTGAGAGAGATATTTCCAATCTTCAAGCTTGCGCCGCAGCCTCTCAGTAGCCTGTTCTGATTCTGCCCAGACGGATCTTCTTTTCCTCCTCTTCATTTCTAATTCCCCACCTTAAGGCCGTGACTTTTTCCCAGAGGCAGCCGCATTTCACCCAAACCAGCAGCGGAGCGCTCGGTGCAAGGTGCCAGCGGGCACATGGCCGTTTCAAAGGGGTTTGAGCCTGAGCAACGCCTCAACGCCTGTGCCCTGAGGTATGCCTGTAAGTTGCAAGACACTCTGGGGGATGACACACTTAAACCAGTAAGAACACCCACCAAGTTGCATCCCCTGACGAACAGTCCCGTCACGCAGGCTGCGCCTGTGCCATGGAGCCCTCCTGCCCCGCCAGCACCACCCAACCAGGATGAAGAGGTAGATGAAGTTTTCTACAAGTGGCTGGGGG